GCAAATTTACATATTTATATAGCAGTTTTAATTAGCCATGATAAGAAAAATACTCCTTCCATTTCATGAAGATTGATGTTTTGGCTTTTTCACACAAATTAAGAAACAATTAGTTGTAAGTTATTAATGCATTACTTTTTAATATTAACTATTTTTCAATATATATTAACCAATAGTAATTCAGAATTTAAATAATTTTAGTTAATGTTTCTTGAAATTTGCTGAAAATATCAATTAATAATGTAAAATATCAATTTTTATGGAATAAAAAAAAAAATTCAAAACATCAATTTTTATAGAAGGGAGGAAGTAGAATTTAATTCCGTAATATGTATGATGATAATACGAAAGAAAATTTTGACCTGACTGCAATCGTACCAAATAGATGCAAAAATTATTAAATAATGTTGACATGAAAATGATGCAAGAATCATTAGTTATTGACCAAAATACATAAATTAGGCGTAATTATACAGCAGCAAACACGGTCATTATTCACTAGAAGCCATCAATTTTTAACGTATTGGAAAGGTCATTACAAACACGTGTGGTCATTAATTACCTTGAACTTCACAAAATTTAGCAGTCGAAACAAATGTAATAAAAATAGAATAATTGGACTACTCCAATTATGGATACAAAGTTTTCATTAATACGAGCCATGTGGTTGTTCACGTGTAGGTCGAACTGCACGTGACATGTTCGTATGCTTGTTTGTTAGAGTTGTGGTCACTTGTAAATTAAAATTACCAAACCACACACTTTTGTGGGCTTTGCATATGGGCCAATATAAGAGGCTTTTCATATACTCAAACCTTTTTAACCATTAAACTCTTGTAGTTTTTTTTTTTATTTTGCAAAATTAATAAACTCTTGTAGTTTTAGGGATACTCAAATGTTAGTTTACGCTACAATCAAAAGTTTCAAAACTAACGAGTTTTTTTTTGTTTTTCATCTAAGTTTTTGTTTCATTTTAACGAGAGTTAAAACAAATTATATAGGAAAATACATAATCTATATAATTTAACCGAACTTAAGACTTCTAACAACAATATGTTGATCCATTGTCTATTTTTTTTCTGGAGAAATTTTAAAAAATGCAACTTTCCAAATGCCACTTTACAAAAATACAACACTTTTAAAATTTTTACAAAAATGCCATTTTTTAAAA